AGACCTCTTACAGGGGGCACTTTGGACGGTGTTCAGCCTCCCATTCAAAAAGGGGCAAACTTGAGCCAATTATTACTTCACAAATCGTCTGTAAGGTATAGAAGGCATATACGTACCAATCCGCTAAGCTCCCTGTAGCGTACTTCTTGAGATTTCGGAGTTCTGTAAAAAATCTGACTTTTACAGAACCCCCCCAGTAGTCGAACTCAATAAGCGTTTCTCGCTCATTTTCTCAGTGCGCTGAAGCCTTTCGGGGTCCCTGCCGAACGGCCATCGGACTTGGGATCTCAGCGCGAACGAGAAAACGAGAAACAGCTCCTCGAGCTGTTTCTCTCGTTTCTCTGGGGCGGACTTTCAATTGCCATGCGCTGTACTGATGTTCCAGGCTCTCGGTTGCTTATGTCTTGCCTAATACGATATGTTTTGGCTTGTTGTGACGCGCTGTTGGACGCGCACTAAGTTGTGTTCTGGCACCCTTGCAACTACTGAGCTAGGGCAGGGCCAGTATAGTGACCCTGCTGATACTGCCACATACCGTCCCAGTCCGCCATAGAATACAGCACGTGGGATGAGCACGAGCTATCTGACAGCTGTGGTGTCTAGCAGTGTCTAGCATGCGACGAGAAATCCGCCAGAAAATGCACGCTCAATAACTTCGGGTTTCTCCGTGTCGCCGCGTCGGCAGAAGGGGTGCCAGTGCGCCCGAGAAAATGAAAACGAGAAACGATATTGAGTTGGGCTAATGATAGTAAGCCGTGGAGCGGCTGCTGAGTGCGGAAAATCTCAAACTTCTCTATCGTTTCGCCGATTGCTGGAACGTTGTCAATGTAAATCTCAAGGTCCTCATGGTCTGTATACTAAGTAGGCCACATGCGCATGCGAAGAATATATATGATGAGTTCCTGGTATGATTATGCCTAAGGTAAAAAGGAAAGGGGGATATACGTAACGTAAAAATCATGACAAGAAGGGGACGATTACAAGCGGACTACGACAACGGAGCGACCAGAAGGAAAGAGACAACAAACAACGAAAGCGCTCCGCTTAGTACTCGCCCGCCTCCTCAACGTCTGCCGAGTCAATACCAACCTCCTCGTAGTCCTTCTCCAGCGCGGCAAGGTCCTCACGTGCCTCGGAGAACTCGCCCTCCTCCATACCCTCACCGACGTACCAGTGGACGAAAGCCCGCTTCGAGTACAACAGGTCGAATTTGTGGTCAAGACGACTCCAGGCACTCGAGATCGCAGTCGTGTTAGAGAGCATGCAAAGGCTGCGGGACACCTTCGCGAGGTCACCGCCCGGGATGTGAGCCGGAGGCTCGTTGCAGATACCAAGCTTGAAGCCAGTTGGACACCAGTCCACGAACTGAATGGTACGCTTGGTCTTGATGACACTGACGGCGGCGTTCACATCCTTTGGGACGACATCGCCACGGTACAGCAGTGCACAAGCCACTATATGCTGCTGTCAATACCGATCTCCGATTCGTCGGGAAAAGTCTCTTACTGTATTTGCCTTCCCTGGGATCGCACTTGACCATCTGGTTGCCAGTCTCAAAGCAAGAGAAGGTCATGTCCGCCACCGAGTTCTGCTCATGGTGAGCCTTCTCGGCAGAGATGATGGGGGCGAAAGTGGCAAGGGGGAAGTGAATACGAGGGAAACTGGTTTGCTTATTAGCGAAGAACCGCACGAAACCTGCTCCTGCTACTCACGGCACCAAGTTGGTCTGGAACTCGTTCAGATCGACGTTCAGGGAGCCATCGAACCGGAGAGAAGCAGTGATCGAGGAGACGACCTGGGCGATCAGTCTGTTCAAGTTCGTGAAGCTGGGCGACGAGATCCCAAGGTTCTTTTTGCAAATGTCGTAGATGGCCTCGTTGTCGACCATGAACGAACAGTCAGAGTGCTCCAAAGTAGTATGGGTCGTCAGGACAGAGTTGTAGGGCTCGACGACGGAGTTGGCCATCGTAGGAGCGGGGTAGACACTGAATTCAAGCTTGGACTTCTTGCCATAGTCCGTCGACAGACGCTCCAGGATGAGAGCACCGAACCCAGACCCAGTTCCACCACCGAAGGAGTGGAAGACGAAGAAGCCTTGCAGACCATTGCAGTTGTCAGCGAGCCGACGGACCTTGTCCATGACTAAGTCAATCTGTTCCTTGCCGATGGTGTAGTGGCCACGAGCGTCTGGTGGCAGTTATCAGTCAAAAGAAACTTAAGACTGAGGTGGAGCACTCACAGTTGCTGGCAGCATCTTCCTTGCCCGTGATCATAGTCTCGGGGTGGAACAGACTCCTGTAAGTACCGCTTCGTACCTCGTCGATCACGTTCGGCTCCAGGTCGACGTAGAGCGAACGGGGGACGTGTTTGCCCGACGAAGTTTCGGAGAAGAAGGTGCTGAATCCATCATCGTTACGCTTCGTAGGGCCTGCACCCTCAATCAAACGACCATCCGGCTAAGGCAAAATGCCATTAGGACGGATGAGAATTGGGAACTACGGTTAAACTCACGCTCAGCCCGTGCTCTACAGTATACAACTCCCCTGCAGGACCGCATATATCAGTATCCCGCATATACGCTACGCTAGAAGACTCCAAGCCACGCATAGCCCATATCTTTCGAATGGATCCGCGCTGCGCAGGGATCATCGAGTCGTTGAATACTTACAGCAAGCATTGCCGATCTGGACACCAGCCTGACCAACGTGCACGGAGATGACTTCACGCATTTTGAAGTAGACAGATACTTAAATTTCGCCAATCGTTAGCGCACTCCTAACGACACGTCGTTTTGCCGTTACTTTGCACATACCTGAGGAACTACAAGGCCAGTTGGAGGATGAGGTGGTCCAAGCGCGACGCAGAACAAAGGGCGGAGGGTTAAAGAAATCGACTGATTGCTTACAAACCGTCTCTCACGGATGATGCTTCCGTCCTCACCTTCTCCTCGAGGGTGTGCATGCATGCATCACTCGACAGATGTCATGTCGAAAAGAGGGCCGAAGTCAAACAGAATCGCACTATAATGCGAGTGATATGATATCGTATCCAAGACCGCAGAAATTTCCCGCTGTACATCAACAGAACTGATGCTCACCGACTAGATTAATATTATATAGACCATACTGTCCTCCTTAGATCTTGAGTCCTCTATATATGTGACGCCCGCCTGAGATCACATTCGGTCTACGACGAAGACGGTGACGGGAGTTTCCCGTGCGCGCTCTTCGCGACATGCTTCGCCTTATCCCGCCCGTCCCGCGCTTTCTGTGAACTCTTCCGCATGAAGATGCTGTAATCAAGTAAGTATCTCGGAAGACGCAGAAGGCCAAGTAAAATGCGCACGTCAAAATTGCAGTCCAGATGGACAAACCGTGGATGGGCGCCCGTTGCGTCAGTTGTTGTTCCGACACGGATTGCCGCGGAGCGTGGGTCGGGTGATCGTTGGGGTCAAAAGCAGCCCTCACTGCGTCCGACACCTTCAGCTTAGGCATCGTCCTGTGGGTAGACGGCGCCGAGTAGTATATACTCTTCTTGATGAGCGCAAGCGCTTCAGGCTAGTTTAAGTCGGGGGACCGGGATCAGAGCGAGATCGAGCAGTAAATGCCTTAGAGTCTCTCACCGTATCCCGTCTCTTGCAGATTGCACTCGGCGGCGGGGTCTCCCGCTCCAAGTCCAAGGGACCCCACCGACGCTCAGACTGCATCTCGCGGTGTTCCGGCGGGATTGACAACCTCGAAGGCGACACCGCCAAGTTCACCACAGACCCATCCTCAGCCAGTTGGAGACCCTGCGCCCTGGCATTCGCCAGCATTTCCTCGGCCCTCGCCTCGTACTTGCGCCTCCGTCGCACAACGCCGATCGCCTGACGCCTGAACTTCTTATCCCAGAGTTCCTGCCCTGTCAACCACCGCCTACAGGGGTCCTCCTTGATCACCCCGATTTCCGACGGCTTCAGCTTGAGCGCTTCGACTTCTTCCCTCGGCTCCATAGCCCTCACTTTCCCGTGTATATCGACGCGTTCCCGGATCATCAGAACGTCTGGTACATCCTCCTAGGTATCACAACTGATCAGATCCGGCAGAAACGATCACGTATGCGAGCCCTACCTCGCCCTGGGCGACCTTCCGCAACGCCTCCTCCACCTCTGACGCACCAGGAACGAAGTCCGCCTGTCCCTTATTCACCTCCTTTGTCGCCATCGCCTTATTATGATCAAACAGCTCAAACTCCGTCGGGGTGTCTACCGTCGACCTAACTTTGTCTAGGGCTTCCTTTGGTGTTTTCCCCCTCAATTCTCCCAGACGGGGTCGTCGGCTGTGGAAGTCGTCGGAATCACCGTCGCCAAGGGAAACTTCTGTAGGAGGCTTGTGCAGCTCGGGGAACGCGTTATTCGCGACCTCTTCTTCCGATCGGATGGTGACATGCCGAATAAATTGCGAAATAGAACGATATGCGTACTTGGCCTACAGAGATTCAATAAGCTTCATACATCCAAGGAGGGTAAGTTGACCTACGCTGTCCGTGAAGGTGAAGACCGTTAAGACATGGCACATTCCTATACGGAGTCAGTAATGCTCAATACCTGTTCAGTTGTACCTACCATCATACACCTGCAAATGGACCTATCCCAATGCACGGCTCAGTTCCTGCGCGCTAGCAACCATAAACAAAGACCCACCTTCGTCGGCGTGCGATACTTCTCCGCGTTCTCCTTCTGCCTTCTCCCCGCCTTGAGCACCCCATGCCTCACAGGGTACTCATCCGGGTGCGCCGCCCGATGGGCCAAATACACACCCTCATCTCTCAAAACTTCCCCGTCCCCCACCAGGATATACAGCGGGCAAAGGTTCCCCAGGGAGCCCTGGAGGATCGGTGACACCAGCGGGTGCGTGAGCTGCCTGAAATACGAATACGAAGGTAAGCTCAAGGGTTAAGGGCAAGTGCGAGTGCACCCGCACTCACTCGTTCGTAGCGTATATCTGGATTTGCGCGCGGAGCTCGAGGGGCGTCTCGTCGGGGTTGTGCATAAGGACTTTCGGCGGGGAGGGCTCCATCAAGTCGGTGTTATATGTGTGAACACTTGACGTGTCCCGCCGTGTCTCCCCTTCAGAACTCCGGCGGCCAGGCGCTTGGGAACTCGTATTTGCCTCCGTAGGAGATTGCCCATTAGCACTACCAGAGGCGTCGTCCTTGGCTCCCTCCTCAGCATGTTCCCCTACCTGCCCCGTTCCCGTCCGCTGCTCCGCAGGCACCGGCGAAGGCGACACCATATCATCCCCAGAAGCCACCATCTCCCTCTGCGACTCGACCTCGCCATCCGGACGCCCCTCCCCACTACCCCCCTCGTCCCTCTTCAAATCATCCGCATGTCCCGGCTTCGGCGGCGGGTTGGTCCTCGTCCGGATGACCCGCCCCTCCGGCGGGGGCACGGGCGCGACCGGCCACACCAGCGACGGCTTCGCCATGAACCCATGCGCAGGTATAATATCCTAGCGCCATCAACTTAGATAATCAACCTCGCGAGCACAGCACATACATCACTTACAGTAGGCATGTTCTGCATGACGCTGGGAAAGCTGTGCGTGAGGTCGACCCAGGGGCTGATGAGCACCGCGCCGGCAGGCATGGGCAGGCCCATGTCGCGGATGACTGTCAGTGCGGCGACGCAGAGCCCGCCGCCGGCGGAGTCGCCTGCGAAGACGATCTTACTCGGATGGACGGGCTTGTGGGGGGCGCCCTCGGGGGGTTCGATAAGGTAGAGGTCTGATTGGTAGAGTGTCAGTGGAAGGACGCGAGGTAAAGGCTAACCACAAACAAGATGCCAGGACGTCGTGCAGAGGGCAGGGCCAGGGGTATTGTGGAGCTTTACTGTTTTACTGTATCAATATCTGGTAGGGGAGGGTGTCGCTGATAACGCACCGGTAATTGGTCACGAACGCTCGACCTTTCATCTTCCTGGCTGTTCGAGATCATTAGTAACGAATGAGGGCTGCCTGGAGAGCTCCCACCATATCGAATAACCTGATACCTGTGGGTATCTAGAGCAGGGTCCGAGATCAACAACCGAACACCTCAGGCGAACAGGTACAAAACCCACTGATAGAACCGAAGAAATAGCCCCCTGTTCATTCAACGTCAATCCTGAAGATAGCGTATAGTTGAAAGTGAACCTACCTCCAGGCACGTAGAGCTGCACCACATTGTCAGCAATGTAACAACCAGCCGACCAGACTCACACGCGTACCATAACAGTTTCCAGATGCTCCATCTGCTTGATGGTATTACTCGCCGCATCCTTCTTGTTCTTCTTTCCCCCACCAGGCACATCAGCCGACAGATACTCCTTCTCCGTGACCCACTCCGCCTCGATCCCGTCTAGGCCGCGGACCTGCCACCACCTCTCGCCCCCCACAACGGCCTCGAGGTCTTCCGGGCCGAACCAGTCAATAAGGACATCTGCGGCGCGGTTGCATGACTTGAGGGGGACGACGACGGGCGCGACGGCGGCCCATGGGGGGGCAGGTACATGGGTGTTCGTGCTATGAGTTCAGGTTAGTGTACAGCGCGCATGGTCCGAAGAGTTGGAATGGTTACAAGGCCTGGAAAGACTCGATCGTGTTGTATGTCCCCAAATCCAAGAAAGCTTTGACAATATGGAAAGCCCTGAGTATTGTGGGTTAGCATAGGCTTAGCTGGATTCGGGGCTGGCTTCACTACATACTCGTCGAAGAAGATGTCGTCCGTAGCAACCTCTGCATCACCGTCAATAAATTTCTTCCCCTTGCGTTTCGAATGAGCAAGGAAAGTCTTGATGACGACTTCAGGCACGCAGCTCAGCATCCCGCTCATCCTTCAGAAAACACAACAAGTGACTTACCTGGCGTAATATGCACGGCCGCCGTGAAAGTGTTGAGTCCCATATCCCCCAAGCAGAACAGCAGAGAAAACAAAGATCAAAGGAGTGGAAGACGGCTCAGTCGAGCGTTGGGTGTGGGGGACGCGCTGGGGTATAGAAAGTCTCATTGCGACACTGCGAGGCCAGGGACGGGTGCAGACGCCCTGTCGTCAGCCGGCGTGGCTCCCGCGTGCACGGAAGACTTCTTCCTCAATTGAATCCCCCGATTCGATCGAGAGATCTCCTTTGAGATCTCGGAATGCAAGGTCAATTGTCAGGTTTGGCCGTGTACGAGAAATACTATGCAGCACTTTGTTTGGTGGAAGTGCCAGCTAACCCTCGATATTACCTCGTTGTTTCACCTCCGTCGTTGGATGTTTATGAAGCTGTCCCCTGAGCTGCTTCGTGGCCACGTACGGGCGAGACATGCATATATCAGCCTGATAAAGGACAAGACGCATCTAGGAAGAAGAGGGGAAGTTCGAAGCCTGAATGCGTATGTCAAATCTCGTGAATAAATAACACACCGCTGACAAATGAATTCTATCTCCCGCCTCCCACTATCAAGCCCCGCGTTAGGATACATGGGTGAGTCTATCGAATAGTGTGACAGTATATGCGAGATTAAGCAACGGTACACTAAAAATACACTACGCAGACCAAAGAGCAGACAAAACAAAGCAGGAGAAAACGAAAGCAAATTTTAAAACTGTCCCCTTGACACATGGTCAGTATCCGTTTGAAGCCCATAGTGAATCATAGGTCTCACCCGTTAGCGTCGGGCAGCCAGGCGGTGAGTAATCTGATGCCTCCAGGTAACATAGATTCCATTGGTGGGTGTCGGATTGTACTGGCACAACTCGAAGAGAACCAGCTGCTCCTGGAAGCCGGGATTCACCCAGGTTTGTTCGCGGGCTGCAGTGTCGGGTAAGACGGCGACGACGTAGACCTACCGCGGGACTCTTACCTCGTCGTACCTCTTCCAACGCAGCTGTAGCACTTATACGCCGCGAGTACATAACTAGAGAGAGCAGGTAAATTCCACCAATTCAAAGGTACAATAGAGAAACTCACGATAAGCAGCAACCACCGCTGCACTCCGAGATAGACCTTGCACACAGTGCACCAGCACCACTCCCCCGTCCTGCAGCGCCTGATGGATAAAGCGGACAGCAGAGGGAAGGTGTATCAGCAGGTCCGCATAGTCGACGTCTTCGACTCGGATCCGCAGCTGACTGATGCCGGATTCGGGCAGGTCAGAGGGGATAGGCTCGGTGCACACGGAGACTATGTGCGTGATGCGCCGCTCGCTCAGGGCACGCGTCGATCGAGCGGCCGAGAGACTGCATAGCGTGTCAGATCGACGCAAGCGCAGGAAGGGGAAGTAGCAAGATCAGAGACGAGCGCAAAGCAGTGAAGGGGACTATTTATACTGACTTGCCAAGGAAGAGCCTGCCTTCGATGATGGTCGAGACGTTCTTCCACCCCATAGCGAGCCGTGGACGAACTTGCTATGTCTTCGACGAGGAGATGCCATCTTGGGCCGTACTTTTGTACCACCGTGCAGCAGCGGCGGACGCACTAGCTCGCCGACATGCGCTCGGTTGTAGCACCTTCCGAGCCCGCCCCTCCTGAGTCATGGCGTCGCGAAACCGGTCGAAAAGCGAAAGTGCGCTATGGCGGTGAAGGGAAGCTGGACAGCCAAAGTCCCTGTCATACGAGGAAATCTACGCCGACAGCGACACGTGCACGCACTGCCACCACGCGCAGCATTGCATCGTCGGCCCGAAAAGGAAACTTGGACGGATTCAACGCCATCGGACGACTCTCTCGCCCGGCCCTTGCTCGTTTGCCGCCAGGGAGCTGTACGAAACGCGCTGGAGCATTGCTGAACCAGTTCATACTCGCCCGAAGTTGTTTGGTTAGGTGAACCACCAGCGTGCTATACCTGTACTCTGTGCAGTCTCATTACATCGGACGTTGACTGTCCGGCCAATCTTCCAGTCGACGGTGATGATGAGCACGCTACAGAACAAATGATCCGTCACGCTAGCACCCTCCGACCTGTCGATCGTGTATGGAGAAGTGAATCTACGTCCCAGATCCTAAAACAACCGTTTGCTGTAACTATGCGGTCATAGCATAGCCTTCTTATGCTGTAGGCTCGAACTCACTTCCGACGCTCGATGACGATGCACCAACAGCCCCCGCTTAGCGACAAGGAACGGGTCTTCAGCCAAGGTACATCGCTCGTCGACATGAAATATCGACTGTCCAGCCATAGCTGCCCGAAGACGCCCCGACAAAGGCACGACGACGCAACGACCATGCTCATTATGTACACCCGGCAACTCCCGGAGCTCTATTCATGGCTCCGACGCCGCAAACACGCTGCATGGCGTCCTCGCAGCAGCAGTCCTGCTATCTTTCCTATCCATTCCCTCTTTCCTCTCCACTCTGACACCCACTTACGCTGCACTTACGTCCGATGGTCCTGCCTGTGAAAATCGAGTGGGAGTCGGTGAGCACATCCAGGGACAATGCACGATCACAGCAGCCACTGACACAGTTGTGAACGCAGTACGACGAACACGGACGCCGCAGGATCAAGCCCCCGGCGTCGACCATCCACGGGTGGCTCGTCAAGTGGCGGGGCACCTTCTCGGGCGACGAGGAGCTGCGACGGCAGGGGATCCGCGAGATGCGCGAGGCGCGGGCCATCCGCGCATGGCGCCAGCAGAAGGGCAGGACGAAGAAGGGCTCAACCTCCGCACTCGGGCTATCCTTCCTCAGCAGGGGCCCCAGCACGAGCAAACCCAAGAAATCCCAGAGCCGGAGCCAGAGCCAGAGCCAGTCCTCGAGCCGGGTCGTCTCCCGGTCGAATACCCGCCACAGCCAGTCTCGCAGCCAGAGCCAGAATCAGAATCAGAGCCGCCAGGTTATCCCCCACCCCACGCACCACCGGCATGGCTCCTCCCGACAGAATAGCGGTAGTGCGGGGCAGAAGTCGCCCCAGCAGCAGCAGCACCGGCCCCGAGGGTCTTCTTCGCACCAGAGTCCCAGGCCCTCGGCGAGGAGGGCCAACACGAGCAGGAGATCATCCGGGAGATGAGGGGCCGTGGAGTCTGTATCCTCAACCCCGGTTTGCATGATTGTACGATTGCAGATGTTGTCTATTCTTTTCTTGATACGCTCGCAGCGCGATACCTCTTCCCCGTTGCATAACTTATCTCCGTTCACGCACATGTACGATATTTATCATTCCCCTTGCTGTATACGTAGACACCCTGTAATATGTTTGGAGTTGCGGACTTCTTTGGATCATCTTGTACATACACACGCACTTTCTCTAGTCTCTTCCCTTATCTCTGACGGACCAATTTATGACTGTTACGAACATGGGAACGCAGTGTCCGGATGCACGAGAATATACACTTGTCAGCTCCACCTCCCCTACAAGAGACTGTAACCTTCTCCCTGCCCACTACAGCTATGAACCGCCGGTAGTGTAGCGTTGCGGGACAGCCACAGAAATCGTTGACAGGATCTGCTTACCTACCGGCTGTTAAGCAGGTAAAGCGGGTTGTGTGTGGCCACGGGCGTTGACATTGCAGCACCTCCCCTCCGGCTCCGACGATCACTTTGCGCTCTTCTCGCAGTCCGCCTGAGAAGCGTACCAGGGATCGAGGCTTGTGGTGTCCAAGTCTGTATATTATCGCGGATCGCGAATCCCCGACAAAGCGAGCGTGGCCCGCTGACGATTCGGACGCGCGTAGCAGATATATAGGCTCGCGCAATGAGGAACGGCAGACCTCCGTCCATCTAAAGCGATGCAGGCACATTCAAGGAGACGAAGAGTTGCGACATGCAGACTAGGGAAACTGCGCGCCAAGCTCGACGACTGATCACTGTAGCCCTCACGTCAGTATAAAACAAATCCGCGATGAGCGAGCGCATACCAGATTCTATACGAGACCAGGGCAGACAAACGGGATATCATCCCCGCCGGCTCTCGGAGTGGACCTCAGCCGCCGGTGTTGGCGCAGCCACTTGACAGGATCTGCCTATGCTAGCCAGCGTCAACGTTCAGCGGGTAAAGAGGGCTGTGTGGCATGGGCGGCTCCGCCGATCACGAGAGTCCGCTCCTCCCGCGCAGTCCACGCCGAGAAATCGAGATTGTGGGAGAAAGCCTGAGGCCTGAATTGCGAAGAAGACGCTGGATGGAACTTACCTGCAGACGTATAGGCGTGGATGGGCGAGCGGGCGGCAGGGCAGCGTACCTCTAGAGTCTGAAGCTATGCGGTTATAGTCAAGAGCATCGACACAAAGCAAAGGGATGGTGCGTTTCGCGGATACATGCACGTTGGACTATGCCTGACTCTGCATGAGGACAGGGAGAACTGCAATTGTCGGGATCCCAGCGCTGCTAGGTACTGGTCCTCGCAAGTGGACCAGATTCCGCGATTCCGAGCGGGAATCGCGATTGCGGGGCTGACGCTTCAGCACCGCGGTGAGTCCCCGGGAGGTACAGCGGCGGTTGGAAACGAAGACCTGCGTTTGCGCACGGTTGTCCGTTCCACTTCCCAGAAGAGATGTACAGACGGCAACCGTCACCCTGTCCCGCCGGTAGTGCACTGCGCAGTCTCGCGGGACCGCCACACGACACGATCTGCTAGCTGGACCGCCTGTTAAGCATGGTACAGTAAAGGGGTAGAGAGGGCTGTGCGCGCGCGCACCCCGGCTCCGACCATCACGCGAATCCGACCATTCACGCTCCCTCGCGCAGTCCGAGTCCGAGTCCGCGCTGATGTTCCCTGAGAAGCGTATCAGGGATCGGACGATGGAGCTGGATATTGAGCTGGAGACGTATAGGTGGTGGAAATGCGAGTGGACGGCGGACCTCTGCAGGCCTAACGCTATGCAGACAGAGTCAATAGGAATGACAAGTCCCGCGGCAGGCAAGGAGCGCTTGCTTGCGTGACAGTGTCCGAGATGGTAATAGTCGACGGCGAGCGAATTCGGGTCTGCACGATACCCTGGCAGCTGTAACCCACGAGAGACCTCCATACTTGCAGTTACGGTCAATACATCGGGAGGCATAGCGTATCGGCACGTACCCTACAGAGTAAGAATGCTGTCTTGCAACGCTCGGAGCCTGTGAAGAGGACAACTTTTACCGTTAGTCAGTCAGGCGTATCCATATACTAGTTTCACGCAAGATCGCTCCGTCGCCGTTGATGGCCAATATGCATCCAGTGAATTATAACCAAACCGAGGATACAAATCCCGTAAATCACCACACGTCCCCTCCCTTTCACGCTCCCTCCCCACCCGCCTTATTCTTCTTCTTCTTCCGCCTGCGTTTCTTCTTCGCGTGATCACTTCCTTCGCCGCCGGGAGGGGGTCCGTCGAGGTTGAGCAGCGGGAGGCCGTTGGATCTTCGTTCGGAGGTGGGGCTGGGTGAGTCGAGTTTCGTTTCTAGCGGGATGGGTGTAGGAGGGGTCAGTGCTGGCGAAATGAAGGACAGAAGGGGAGGGGCACCTGAGGTGGAGATTTTCTGTTTTCCGTTGGGAGATATTGTGGGGGGTGTTCCTTGAGGGTAGGACGCTCCCGAGGGAGCCCCAGCAGGCGAGTTCTTGACCGCGCTCGCTCGCTCGTTCTTCGCGCTAGCGGAGGGCTCGCCGTTCTTGGCGACAGAAACGGTAGGCGCACTGCTTCCCTTCGCTCTGTCCGAAGGCGCGTCCAAAGCCTTAGGATTTTGATTCACAGCCGGGCTACTCTGGCTCTGCCCCTGCGCGCCCTGCTTCTTGTTTTTCTTCTTCCCCGCCGCGAAGGGATCCACCTTGACCTTTTTCCTGATCGCCCCCGCGCGACTGTCCTCCTCATCGTCATCGTCCGCCTGCCTCTTCGCCCCGCCAGCCTCGCCCTCCTCGCGCTCGCGCTTCTTCCCCTTCCCGTTGCCCAGCAGCTGCCCCTTCAGCCTCATCCCGTCCCTGCCGCTCACACCATTCGCCTCGGGCAAGGGCGCCCCAACACCGAGTCTATCCCACCATCAGCCTGCCTGCCAGAAGAGAAGATAAGCGGGGGCGACGCTACCTGTGGGGACGACGTACGTATTCCTGGAGGTCGGCTTCGGTGAGTGCTGCCGCGGCGGCGGGGGAGGCGAGGTTGGGCTTTATCCAGGAGGAGACGAGGTCGTCGGCGAGGGAGGAGGAGATGTCGATCTGGGCTTGGAGGGCGTCGGTGTCGATGTCGGCGTCGGCGTCGGCGTCGTCCATGGATTGGAGTCGCGTGCGATGGCGGCGATCCTTGGAGGCGTGGGAACATGTGCGTGTAGGGCATCCCAGCCCGATCTGAGATTCCTCCGGCCACTGCTGTCACTGAGCCTGATGCTGCAAGCTCAACTGCGACGAACGCGCTGGCATGCAAATTCGGGCAGACGATACCGCAGGCTATATAACGACACTCTGAGTGTGGTCGCCCGCTGACACGTCTTTCGTTGCTTGTTGTCCTCTGCTCACGACCGTTGCTCGCAGACTGAGACACGCCCGCTCCTCCCAGCCCGAGCCCCAGCCCGAGCCCGAGCCTGAGCCCCAGCCATGTTCGCCGTCCACTCGCTGCTCGCGCTGGCCTGTGCGCCCCTCGTGCTCGGCGCGACGCCGCTCACCATCCCGTCCTCGCCCTCCTCCAACACAACCGTCTACCCCAACTTCCTCGGCATCTCCTTCGAGCTCTCCTTTGTCGGCAACTACTGTCCGCCCCCCTTCTCCCCGTCCTCCGCTCCCCACTAACCCCTCCCCCAGTCGGCAACTCATCCTCCGCCATCCCCGCCCCCTTCCTCGCCTACCTCGCCGCCCTCTCCTCCACCGCCCCCCTCCGCCTCCGCCTCGGCGGCAACTCGATGGACGACAGCTCCTTCCTCCCCGCCCAGTCCTCGCCCCTCATCAACTTCACCAACCCCCAGGCGAACGCGAACGACCAGCCCGTGACGTTCGGCCCGCCGCTGTTCGCCCTGCTGAGCACGGTCGCCGGGAGCGTGCGCGGCGGCGCGCAGTACCTGCTCGGGCTGGGGCTCCGCGACCCGAATGATACCAACACCCCGCTCCTCGCGGGCGCGGCGCAGGCCGGGCTCGGCGAGTATTTGGACGCGTTCCTGCTCGGTAACGTGCGTCCCCTCCCCTCCCCTTCTCCCATAACGATCATTAACGCCCGTGCGCGCGAGTGTAGGAACCGGACCTGTACTCGGCCCACAACCAGCGGCCGAACCTCGCAAACTATACCGTGAACGACTACATCGGGGTGAGCACCTCTCCCATTCGTGGGTCTTCTGGTAGGGAGCTCACGCTGGAACGGATACTGACACGAAAGAACGGCGGTAGGAATATTATGTGGCGACTGCGAACCTGCAGAACACGTCCGCGGGCAATATCCTCTCGAACCATAACATCGCCGGCCCGACGATCTGCTGCAACTGGGTGCGTCATAGTCATTCCTTCCCCCACACCCTCAGATCCCGAGATTGAATGTTGAATGCAGGATCTCGAGGCGCTCCTCACCTCGGGGTGGCAGAGCGACTTTCAGGACGTGCTCAAGTACATTACGTGCGTAGTGACCGCCGGCGTGCGGTTGCGAGGCTGACGGTGACCGTTCGTAGACTGCAGCACTACCCGCAGAACAACTGCTTCGGGAGCTACCAGTACCAGCTCGACTACTACCTCAACCACACGAACGGTGCGCCTCTCCTCTCCCCCTTCCCCCTTCCCCCATCCTTCCCCTTCTGCTCTTCCTCGACTGATGATATCCGCGCCCAGTGCAAGAGCTGGCGCAGTGGCAGGCCGGCGGGCTCGCGGCGGCGACGCGCCCGGTGGTGATGAGCGAGTTCAACTCGGCGTCGTGCGGCGGGATCCCGGGCATCTCGGACACGTTCGGCGCGGCGCTGTGGACGGCGGACTACGCGCTGCAGATGGCCAGCGTCGGGTGCGTCTTGTTCCTCCCTTCCCTCGCCTCGTCTCCTCGACCACGCTGACAAAACCCCACGCACGCAGGTACTCCGCCGCGTACCTGCACACGCGCGAACCGGGCATCTCGTACAACCTCTTCGAAGCCGCGCCCGACGGGTGGACGACGCTGCCGCCGTACTACGCGCTCCTGCTGGTGTCCACGGCCCTGGGCGTCGCCAACGGGACGCGCGTGCAGGACCTCGCGCTGCGCGACGCGGCGCAGGCGGCGTACGCCGTGTACGACGCCGCCTCCGCCTCCGCCTCCGACGCGCTGCGCGCGCTCGTGCTGTTCAACTACCGCAACGCGTCGGGGCAGGCCGCGGGCTTCGCGGTCCCGCAGGGCACGTTCGGGTCTGGCGCGCGGAACGTGACCGTGAAGACGCTGCGCGCGCCGAGCGCGAACGAGGCGCACGACATCGCGTGGGGGAACGCGACGCTGCGGGGCGTGCGCGACGGGCGGCTCGTGCCGGCTGCGGGCGCGGGCGCGGGGGAGTACAGCGTGGACTGCGGTGGCGCCGGGGGGTGCACTGTGAGCGTGCCCGGGCCGGGCGCGGCGGTGGTGTTTGCGGCGCAGGGGGCGAGCGGGGGCGGGAATCGGAATGGCGCGGCGGCGCGGGGGTGGAGGGTAGGTGTGGGGAGTGTGCTGGTGGGCGTTGTGGGCGGTTTGGTGACGTTGCTTTAGGTGTCGGGACTTCCTGGATTTATGGTAATATTTATCGCTGTAATAGCCTGTACATAGAGTAGAACAACACAAATGCTGGATAATCTTGGTTAGCGATGGAAGCAGTACCAGTGTGGCTGTGGCTGTGGCTGCCGATCGAGATCGACGATAAGCAGCGGCGTTGAACTTCAAATCCACTCGCGATGGCTGCTACAGGCGTCCAGGATGAGCGCCGCGACGAGGAAGCTGCTCGTCGACGTCCACACCCACGTCTACCTCCCGCGCTATGCGTCTCTGTTGCGCTCGCGCTCGGCGGCGCCGCGCATCCTGTCCAGGCCGACCGCGGACGGGGCGGGCACGGAGGAGAGGCTCGTCATTCTGGACAATGAGCCCAGCGGCGGGCGGCCGGTCGGCCCCCAGGTATGCGTGCAGTTTCTCCAAGTGAAATCGAAGCTGAGTTGTCTGTAGTACTGGGACCGCGACGAAAAGATAAAGTTCATGGACAAGCACGGCATCGACGTCTCCATCGTCAGGTGCGCATCCATCCGCTCTTTATTCTCCTTCGAAACAAAAACTTGTCTCCCCCCCCAGCACGGCCAACCCGTGGCTCGACTTCCTCCCCGCCGCCGAAGCGCCCTCCCTCGCCGAAGCCCTCAACGCCGACCTCGACGCCTACTGCGCCACCGCCCCCGCCCTCTCCCCCGCCCTGTCCCGCCTCTACGCCTTCGGCCTCCTCCCGCTCGTCCCCGCCGTCCCCGTCCCCGCGCTGCTCGCCGCCGTCGCGCACATCGCCTCCCTCCCGCGCCTGCGCGGCGTCATCATGGGCACGCGCGGGCGCGGCGCGGGGCTCGACGACCCCGCGCTCGAGCCCGTCTGGGCGGCGCTCGCAAGGGCGGGCCTGGTCGTGTTTCTGCACCCGCATTACGGCGTGCCGAGCAGCGAGTGGGGCGACCGGGAGAACGGGCACGTCCTCCCGCTCGCGCTCGGGTTTCCGTTCGAGACGACCATCGTGAGCCCCTCGCTGCCCCATCCTCCTGCCTTAACGCTGACGCCCCAGCCCAGGCAACGACCCGCCTCATCCTCGCAGGCGTGCTCGACCGGCACCCATCGCTGCGCCTCCTCCTCGCGCACGCGGGCGGCGCGCTCCCGCAGCTCTCCGCGCGCCTCGCGTCGTGCGTCGCGCACGACCCCGCCGTCGCGCAGCGCCTAGCGCACGACGCGCGGTGGTACCTCGGGCAGCTGTACTTTGACGCGGTCGCGTACGGGCGCGAGGAGCTCGCGTTCGTGGCCGAGTGTGTCGGGCGCGCGGATTCGTATGAGAAGGTGCGTATCTTCTGTCTTGTCTGTACTCGCTGTAAGATGGTCATGTTGATGTGAATGATGCAGGGCGCGGACCGCCGCACCCAGTCCGCGCAACGCACCCTCGGCTCTTCGCGCCTCCTCTTCGGCACGGACCACCCGTTTTTCCCCCCGCTCGCGGAGACGGACAAGTGGCAGAGCGTGACCGAGAACCTCGAGGCGATCGATGGCGTCGAGGGGTGGTCCGACGCGGAGCGCGAGGGCGTCAGAGGAGGTAATGCGGCAAGGCTATTTGGGTTGGTGTAGGGAAAGGGAAAAGTTGGGATGTGGGTATTGGGTAGGGTGGTTTGTTTGGAATACAGGGCTCTTGGTTTCCGTACATCTTTATGAATAAGGATACACCCGGAATCATACACTTGTCCCTCCCTACTTGGGCTTCTGTATCTTCAAACTGAAATCCACATGCCTTACCCCCTGATGCACCGCGCTCGTACTCAGAATATCCACCTCCGGCACCGCGCGCTCCCTCAGATTCCCCTCCGTAACGTCCCCGCTGCTCTCGAACTTCCACTGCCGCTTCCCCGCCCACTTTTCCCTCAGCTGGCGCGCGACGGAGACGAGGGTGGGCCCGGGCATGTTGTCGAGCATGACGATATCGGCGCCGGCGGCGATGGCTTCGTCGGCTTCGGCTTCGGACTGGACCTCCACTTCGAGGAGGAGGGAGAAGCCGCCGACGCGGCGCGCGGCCTGGATCGCCGCGGTTATCGAGCCTGGGGAGTGGACGTCAGCCCCTCGAACCGAATTCGGGTCGGAAAGAGGGCGGGCTTGACGGAGCAGAGGCGGACGCACCGTGCGACCAGATGTGGTTGTCCTTGAGCATGATCATGCTCGAGAGGTCGTGCCGGTGCGGGTCGATCCCGCCCACCAGCATCGCGTACTTCTCCACGAGCCGGAACCCTGCGATACGCGCGTTACGGTGCACACACGCAGTCAGACGCGAGTGCGAGACGCACCGGGCGTGGTCTTGCGCGTGCCCGCGATGATGCCCTCGTACCCGTAGCTCCGCGCGAGGTCCAGGATGCGTTTCGACCTGCCGGGAACAAGTGTAAGCAACAGCGGAGTGCACAGAAGAACGAGACGCCCGACAAACGCACTTGGTCGCGATCCCGCTCGCCCGCGCGAGCATGTTCAGCGCAACGCGCTCCCCGAGCAAGATCTGCCTCGCCTTCCCCCGCACCGTCGCGACGTGCTTCACCGGCTCGAACACGTCCCCCTCCTTCATATGCCACTCCACCCTACCACCCACACACATCATCAGCGTCCCTCCCTCACACGCAAAGCAAAGCGACACCACTCACTCGCACCCAAGCTGGGTGAACACCTCCGTAAAGAACGGCACGCCCGCGAGGACCGCCGCCTCGCCGCCCTTGCCCAGGAGGTGCGCCTCGCGCTCCGCCTCGCCCACGACGTACCCGCCGTAGTCGAACGACGGCGTGTCCTCGGCCAGCCACCCAGTCACCTGCGGCTTCCAGCTCGGCGGGAGCAGGTGCGCGTAGTTGTTCTCCGCCATAGTGCCGGTGGTGGATGGGACTCAAGAGGAAGTCATGGTTTTCGAATTCCTGGGGCTGATAAGATGCGAGCACGCGATTATAAATCGCTCATCCGGCTTACAGATGCATGCATACGACGGGAATTAGGATGCATATTTGCCTACCTAATCTAAGCCACGAAGCTAAAAACACAAACAGTATGGTACGCTGTCCGAATATGAGCCTCGCGGCCGTTGGCAAATACACAGTACGTTCAATGTTCGATTGACACTTATAATACGATACGACCAGAGTCCGGAGAGACAGAAACGACAGTGATATGGAACGACAGGATGTGTGACCCACAGGAGAAAATGAGACCTAGGATAGGAAAAAGTCATGTCCACGCTGGTGTAAACCCTCTAGTCCTCTACGACGATTTTGACATGGGGGTAGGTGTTTAGGCCATGAAGGCACCGACCAGGGCGACGAGGCCCAGGAAGCCGGTCGTGACGCCCGCGCCGGGGAGGGCAGCGCTGCTCGAGGTCGGGCTGGTGGTGGTGTCGGACGTGGTAGGGTTGAGTCCGCCAGCGCCAGTAGCGCCGCTGGTACCAGATGCACCATTGCTGATGGTCATCGTGCTGCCGCTGGAATGAGATTCACAGTAAGCTCAAGTGATCAGAGGAAAAAATAGTCACGACTACAAACCTGCGAGAAGAGGTGCCGCCGGTAGTGCCGGTAGCAGTGGACGTGCCCGACGAGCTGGTGGTGCTCTTCGTGATGTTGAACTCCGAGGACTGGGCGAGGATGCTGTTCAGGTCCTGCGCGTCCTTGACAAAGTTCAGCCTGAACGTGCCGCCAACGGGGAAGCCGTTGCTCGGGGGCGGGACGGTCGTCGAGCCGGTGGTGCCGTCAACAAGGGCGATGAGGACTTGGTTGTTGCTGGGCAAGACGTTGCGGTCCTGCGTTTGAAGCCCACGTCAGGACGCCCTCCTGTCATCCATTCCACCGCTTGCACGCACCTCGTTCGTCAGGACCAGGGTGAAGTTGCTCGGGTCCGTGTCGACGCGCTGCCAGCTGACGGTGTTGGGGCCGGCGGAAGTCCATCCCTCCTGGGCGTTAGGGGAGGTGACCTGGTACGCCAGAGCGGAGGCGACGAGAGACAGGAAGATGGCAGAGTAGGAGTGCATCATCGTAAGCTTCGAGTAGGAAACGTCTGAGTTTTTCTGGGTGCTGGTTGAAGCAAAGGTAGAGCTGAAAAAGACTGCGAAGACGAAGCGACTCGAAGAGAGAAATAAAGAACGTTGAGGGGTCGAACGTGGTCGAGAGTCAAAATATGAAAGCCTCGAAGGCTCACTCAGGCCGACGCCGCTGGGCTGTACCACCGCCAAGCGTTCCCACGATTGTTGTGGCTCGCCGTCACGGACACACAGGCTTCAACTCGCCGAAGTCCGGGGAGCGGTATTTGGCACATTCACTGCATTTGCTGCACTTTATCTCACCTGTGGATAGGCGCCTGGATGACCAACATGTCACGAACTATCTACAGACTGAGATACCTTCGTTGTCTAGCCAGTAGATAGCTGCAAGAATGTTCCCATGTCTCAAAGTATCCACACCTGAGATTACTGGCCAAGCTGTACCCGAAGATTCATAGGCGAGACGTTCTCGCCTTAAACATCTTGGTGGGGGATAGATTGGGTATCACGGGCTTGGGACCGTAAGCCACGTTGACTGTCTTGTGGTGCGTAGAATAGCCTACGGTTCACGAGGTGACGAGATTCGGACGATCAGATTGATTACATAATATCCGTATATGTGCATCCGATATCTAAATACAGTAACGACGCCACCGACATGATCATCCCCTCGATCTTGCTCTACCAGCTCGTACAACCACAGGGAATTGACAGAAGCTGTATCAGAGAGCTGTATCAGAGAGAGGGCAAGCAAGTAAGATTGGCTGAGCACAAAGTGGCACTGGTGAAACCACTCACTGCCTAGCAATACTAGTAGTATAGGTACTACACCCAATATCGACGCCACAACAGCCGAGATTTACGATGAGGGCTGCTGTCGTCGCAAAAACCAAAGGCTGAGGACACCTGTCAATCCAGATCTTGAGCTACAGGTACGATGATCACTCACCAGAATTTTTTTACCGCTGCAGGCTGCTCAAATACTGCGACAGTGCGACCCTAATGACGAGCTCACCTCCATCGTCCCCCTCGTGCGGAATGGCATCCACGTTAGGAGAGGCAGATGCGTCCCACCCTGACTCTAGCCATCCGCAGGCAGCGGCCTCATTTCCTGGCCTTCCGCCAGGATTTCCTCAGCAATATCCGGCACTTGACCCGATGAACCCGTTCCAGGGAATGAACGAGATACAGGTTAGTATGATTGAGAGCTCGTACAAGCATATAGGACTCACCGTTATGCAAACTCTCCTCCAGTATCCCTCCTTCTCAACTCCCATGGCGCATGCTCAGCTCCAGATGCAGTACGCTGGCAACCCCATGTACACGCCACCAGCGCCGGCTACGCAATTCTCTTACCAGAACCCGCAATTCCCTCCTCACCAGCCCAGCGGATATGCTTTGCCAACCATTCCGTCAGACCAGCAACACGGAGCTAACAATATGACTAACTCACCGTCGGGACCCTGGGTGCCCACCACTGCGAACCTTGTTCCGCCTAACGTATTGATGCCCTCACTCGCTCGAAATGCTCCCGCACCTCCCCTGCATTCTCCAACGCCGGTCGCAGGCGCCCATCTAAGCGATTCAAAAGCCACCGAACAGGCTATCCTGGGCCTGTTTGGATTTGGCAGCATCGAAGAGTGCCGAGAGTTTATGGAAGCAAACAAGGCATCTAAAGGCGGTCGCAGGCGCAAAGGAGCTCCATATGAGCAGGACCGAAAGCTAATAGTGAGTGATTGTCCATCTAAACCCTTGCGAAGCATCACTAACCTGCATTTCCAGGCCTCAGTACATTATCATGCGCTGTTGCTCCTCGGATGCGATCCTAACGACAAGTCATACACCGTGCCCGAGCCTCTCCCACTGTGTGCTCCAGTCCGCACAGACGCAGGCGGTGTACGGCTCTATAACCCGGTATGGGCGATGGGACCCACTTCGCCTCGCAACCGTGAGTACATCGATGCGGTAGTGAGCAGCATTGAAGAGAGCGAGAAGGTAAGCTAGTAACACTTACCTGGTGATCTAACTCACTCCGGCCCAGGCGCGACCAACTCTTGGTCAAGACATTAGCAAAGCGGCCATTCGGGATCAAGTCAGAACGTTCTTTGCTCAGCTCCGTAGACGTTACCAGAGTCAAGTTGACCCCGCTGCCAAGAAAAAACAAGAAGCTAAGAATGATGATACTCGCTCACGGCAAAGGCGCAAACACGTATGTCATTAGCCTCACCAAACCTAGTGGAGTTGGCTGATTTAAAGATCAATAGAACGCTGATGCACACCGAGACCTTTTTGACGAGTTCAAGGAGAAGTATAAAGAGCAAGCGGAAGGCATTGAAAAACTCATCATGACTGACTGGGGCTCTTCGGAGTGTAGCGACGAGGGTAATTGGCCCACAAAGGCTGAGGCAGTTGCATACCGGCGGTTGAAAGGTGGAGGAGATAATGCCTGGGAGGTCAGGCGTAAGGAGTGGCGGTCGGAAAAGGTGAGTTCATTCTCTGACTCACCCGCGACAGTCATGCTGAAGACATCAGTATAACCGCATCATAGGGGCATTCCGCAAACTGAGGCGACAGAAGGATGAGAAAGATCAGGAAGCTGCACGTACCTCTGGTAAGAAAAAAGACCGGCTCGGACGAGCGAAGATCCCACGCGTCCTCGGCGCTGATATCAACGCCAACCATGGTCCTCCTCGTACTGGACCACGAATGCCGGTGCCTTACGAGTGGTCTGTGAGCCGTGAATGGGCAAAGAGTTGGGCTGTACGTACCGGTAATGCTGAGCTATCAGTTCGCACTGGGGAGCATCTCCCTGTCTTCGACCTTGATATCCCCGATGAGGACATTGACCCAGAATATCTCGACTGGATCACTAAGGATCTGGGTAATGTGCCGGTTGATAGCGAGTCGAACGAGAGGGAAGAAACCAGTTAAATTGTTAGATACAAATTGGTCACTTGATGTAAAATTGAGCAGATAATGCTACGTAGTGCTATTCACCACTCTGAAGAATAAATGTTGGTCAATTGATGCGTGTATGCAAAAGCCAATGTACAACTTACTCTATCAAGAGAAACGGTTGCCCAGCATGAGACATTTTCGACTTGGACAGTATGTCGCACAACGTGCGAGATGATGTTATTCAGATCAATCAGGGGCGCCGGTTCGAGCTGTTGTGGAGCGATATGGGTCTCTTCCTCCCACAGCCGGACCTCGGATCGACGGCTATTGGATGCAGTGAGTTGATGGACATTACAAGAGGCAAATAGCTCACAAATGCGCCCACGGTGTGTTGGAGATGTCGATGAGACATGGCTTGAACCACCTGACTCGCCCGAAGTAGTACATTCCAAGGCCGACTTGCTCAAATCGGACAATGTGGGTTAGTTCCCCCACCCAGCTTTCCGTTGGAGTTGTTCGGACTGCAACCAGGGAGTCAACAACATGAACAGAGGAAAAGCGAGATGAGGCAAGATATCTCTGGCCTCGCAGGATGACGTGATCAAAGAATGTTGCTTGTGAAAGCAGGGGGGCACTTCGTAGAGCATCCGGAGGGGCGAGGATAGACCGAAGACGTTGATGCGGGAGAGAAATCTGGAGATGGGAGAGAAGTTGGTAATAAAGGTCCATCGGGATGTGATGATGCTGCGATCTCGGACTGAGACGGAATCTAATCCCCTCTGCAAATTGTGAAGATTGGGCAGAATCTTCGTGGACGAGAGTCACGTACCATCTGCTTGTGCCTCATCTAGTTGTCTCGCCAGAGCCTGGACCGTCCCGCGGTCATCCGCCGTTGCACGGTACATAGTATCGACAGTACGATGAAGGGCGGAGCCCGGTGGGGCATCATAAGCGTCACCGAGCTAAGGCAGCAATGAGTCAGGAGGCTCAAAGCCATAGCAGTTTCACGTACCACACATGAGGTCCGCATCGTACGCATGAACTCACGAAAGAAGGAGACCTCGAGTTCACCTCCCCCATGATTGTTTGTCCGGTAAGACTTGAGTACTTTGTTGAGGCGTTCAAATAGGAATGTCCAGAACTCGCGCAGCGGCCCGTAATCACGCAGGTTCGCCGGCGAGTGTGTGGCGTAGTGGTGGTTAGGTCGCATAACGGACGGGCCGTACAGCTACATGAGTGTCAATGGGATGGTCCCGGGCGGCCACAGAAGTGGCCTGGTCACGTACCTCCATGAGTTCCAAACAATACGAGCGGAGGAGGCTCTCTGCTTCATCTATCTGAGCGTCCGTAATTGTTTCAGAGAGAAGGATCCTAAGAGCTCGTGACAGTTTGAGGAAGTTTTCGGGATCGCGGGGATGCAGGTTTGATACAGCTGGCTCTTCATCGTCAGCGACTTCGATCCGACGGCGCTTTGAAGGACGACTGGCTCCAGGAACATAAGTGACATCACCAGGTTGTGCGCCATCTGACAGCTCTTCCGACATGTCCACGTTAGCACTCATATTATTGCGCATTTCCTGATTGTCCACTTGATCGTCCAGATTGTTGTTTTCCTCAGCCTCCTGAAACAAAAGGTCAGTGCATTACGTGACTATTGATAGATTGACTTGCGATAGCGCGGCGTGTGCGTTTGCGTGAACGTTGGGGGCGCTGTGGTGGGTCCACTGAAGTCGTGGATGGTTGCGCCGCACCGGTCTCTTTGGCCTTGCATGCTGCGGCGGCTTGTTGGGCAGCTGTCTCTTTGGCCTTGCGTGCGGCGGCGGCTTGCTGGCGAGCAGCGGCAGCCTCCTCTTTCTTCTTAGCTGCTGCTGTCGCGATCATCTCAGTGCGCCGAGGGAGAATGTTCTCATCGTCACCCGGGAGGAATTCATTCCAAATCTGGGGAATCTGGGAGCCATATCAGTCCTGGAGAGTAGTCAGAGCTATAAGGAACTCACTGCGAGGGGTGCGACAACCGTTGCGAACACCAGCCATTGGTCAGCAGTGAGGGACCCTCCTGCTGGCTCTCCAATTAACCCTGGGAGACGGCCCAGCTTTGCGGGCATGTGCAGCTACCAGGTCCAGTCTATATACGCATGGTGTAGAGTGAGAAAGTGAGAGGAAGACGTACATCAGACAAGATCTCGTGGACCCGCCGCAACTCCTTCGATTTTCGCAGGACGTTCAATTGGACCCAGATATGGTAGAAATGAGTCTTCACGAGACCTGATAGCATATGGGAGCATGAGAAACAAGCTTAACAGGGCAGCAATATGTCCGTACCGAGGAGCAGGTTGTGCATTGGGTCAATCACAATCATTCTACACATGTCAAAATATGGTAGTCGGGAGAACTCTGAGAACCGGCTCGCGAACTCTTTGACAAAGTTGGCCTTCGCAGTCTTTGTGCCAAGCTTCGTGTACTCTCCCATGTATGCTCGATGCTGCTGATCAGTACGTGGAGGGAATGCTGCAGATAGACATTATGAGTAATGACCATGCTATAGGGTAACAACCTACCATTTTTCATAAAGGCAGCAGCAGAATTCCTTTCATTGTGTTCAATCCAGCAAAGCGTACAAAAATACCGATGGCTATGTGAGCCAAAGCCGCCCATCTTATGGGCGGCGGGTTTATCACAGATAATTCCCACCAACGCCACTCGAGTGAGACGCCCATCGGGGTAACGGCGTGTCTTGATCTTTATCCCTATCTTCCAAAGACGCAAGAGCTCATTGACAAGGAGGCGGACGAACTTCTGGCATTCATCCGGATCAGGTTCTTTTGGCCCGGGAATGATACCGGCCAATAATAGATTGGAAGTGCGATACCTACATGATAGCGCGAGATCGGGATTATGCTCGCGAGAGATGATCAAAATGCTTACCGTAGATGAGGAGGCAAGTTGATAATGCTATACGACATCGGACAGGATGTGTGGGAAGGGGCAATTTGACTCCGAAGATACGAAAACCTGAAGACAATTCATCAGCATTGGACACAGAAGGAACGATATGCAGCGTACCAATCAGCACCTAACGTTACACCAATACGGAGCTCGCCATCAGGCCCTTCAGCAAGATCATGCCGAAAAAATGGCAAGCCGTCCGGTCCTAGTAGCTCTTTGCATATCTTCCCATCGAAGATGTCGCTGTATTGCCCTTGAGTCCTCGATTTCACGCGCCATGTGTCCAACTCATCTTCAACCTCAGGGACAATTCTTCTCAGGTGGTCCTCCAGAGACTTCATCGGAAATCGTAGGAGTGGCTTGCGTGTACTGCGTTCCTCACGGCCTCGCCTCGTGTCTCGTGTCGTTGGACGGGTGTCAAAGAGCGCTTGTTTGCAAGACAAACACTCGATGGCGTCTGTGGTGACCGGATAGACGTCCAAGCAAGATGGGCAGACCGGAAGAACGGGGAATGACGGCTCAATCTCCAAGCGTTCCATGATGGCGGGGAGCGTCGTGTACATCGGTGGGTGGAGGTGTAGCCCGGCAGTCTCGAGAATGACACCAAATATGACCAGGACAGCATTGCATGCACGGAAGGGCAGATGGAAAGAGGTATGCAGCCAGATAACAAGCAGGTAGAGCAGATACACTGCAGGATTGGGGTGCAGTAGAACCGGAGAAGAGACGGGGGCCGTATCCTTCGATTGATATTGGTAAGTATCGGTATCCTCAGACTGCACAACCTGACGGACACGCTGACTCCGAAGCGCGCTTGCATTCTGCTGTAGAAAGCTCGCGGCTGCAAGCGGCGGAGCGGCCGTGGAAGTCTCAGTTGTGCTGGGAGCACCATTGGTCTCGCAAGGATGCTCCGAGCTATTGAGCAGCTCATCCTCAGGAGCATCTGCCGTCTCGGAAGACTCATCCCACCCATCATCAGCAATATTAGGCATACCGGCATTTGGGACGTCATCAGAGTCAAACGGTGAGGCCGATTCTTCGTTCGGGAGCGCCGACTCGTTCATAGGTGGCTCGGTATAGCCTTGCGTACCGGCGATCTGGTCGAAGGAGGAAAATGGTTGCGAGTCGGTCGTCTCCGGCGGGGGCGGGACAGCGTCTACCTCCAGGGATTGGTCCCCCTCCCCTCTGGCCGACTTGTTGCTGGATGATGCCTGTGGGAACAGCACAGTGAAGGTGAAGAGGTTGCTAGTGGTCCCCATGCCTGCAGTAGAACGGGAAGTCGATGTTCCGGGGGATGGAGCATGACTGCTAGGCTGCCCGCTTGCGACCGACGATGAAGCAGCACTCTGGGGGTTAATGCTCGTTTGTCGCAGGTCCCAAGACTTGTGCTGGCGTCGGATCCAGGGACCGACGAGGGCACCTTTGCACCTCGAGCACGGGCAAGGAACGTCTCGTGACTCTCGCCTTGCTCCCGCCTTGCTCTATAGTCCTTGTCAGTGAGCTTGTCTGCAGTCTTTGTATCTAATACGCACCATGCTCGAGGTTGAAGCTGGACTCGGAGAGGGCGGGCGGTTATGACAGCGTACGAAACAAAGAATCTGCACGAACTCGAGCGTTTACTTTTAGATGTCCGCTGTCTCGATCGCTTGCACTGTATCTAGGGCAAGATATGTATCGGAGCGTTAGCTTGCACATGACGCGTCAAATAAACTTGGAACGGTATTATTCGGCTGACTGAGGATACAAAATTTCTACAGTACTAGTATTCTGTACTCGTACTCTACAGGGAAGAACTCCCTTCTCGTAGCTCATGCTAGCTAGTGGGATGTCCTCGCCGTGGGATGTCCTCACCAGTGGACGTGATCGGGGAGTAGACTGTGACTCGTGTTGCAGCCTTTGTTCCAACCTTGACTCACGGATTAGAAAGGTGACAGAGCAGGGAATGAATTACTCACTGCAGCTGAAGCTGCCCAATTCTGTATATCATCTGAGAGGCCTGGCTACAGCAACTGTTGTGAGTACTATTTCCGAGGCAAAGCAACTAGGGACAGGAATATACCACTCGGACATTGTCGTCGGTACCGGCTAGCATAGCAAATATCTCGCACGCGTCCGAGCGCGATTCTATAAAACGCAGTGCTTTCCCGGGCACCCACTGTGTCCAGCCGGGGCCGTCTTGAACTTCCCTGCAGCCTACCCATTTCTCCACGATGGCAACGGGGCTCGCACGGTGTCTTGACGGAACACCAGAGTCGACGGGCACGGAGATGGCTGCGTAGAGGCAGTAGGTATCGAGATCAGCGAAGAATTCGCTTGGGTCTGGATCCTAAGTAGACTTAATGGTGCTATAGCAGCAGAACGAGTGTGGTACTCACTGGTATATGCAGCATAAACATCTCGCAGAAAACATGTTCACTAGCGAAGTCTCCGTGCTGAAAGAGCAGCCCGTTTGCTGGTGATAAGTCAGCCGTTCGCAACCACAAGTCGCCTACACCAGGGTCAGGTGTTGGAGGGCGCGTCGGCTTGCGTCGAGGAGGTATGATGCGAGGTGAACGGAAGATGTTGGACTTGGGCATAATTCGTGAGCTCGAAAGGGGAGCGAGAGCGCGAACTGCTGCATCTTGGTTAAATCCGAATATATTGTGGCATTAAACAAGATAGCTTCGCTGTCCTGGTCAGTCTCGCTAGAGATAAGTAAGTTGACAATGGAAGATGAAGGACGTAGGTATTTAACGTGGCCACACGGAAGACAGGTTGGGATACGTCGGTCACATAGGCTATCTTACACACGACTAGACGCACACAGGTACGGCAATTTCCGCCAGCAAGTGCTGGCCATCTGACGTTCGGAAAGCTCGAGGGATAGCCAAAGCACCTCAGTTATCCTAGCTATCTATACGTCTAGCTAATTTGCAGCAAACGCAGTGATTGTGGCCTCATCAGCATCGTTCATACACAATGCCACATTTATCTAGGCTCTTTGTTACAAATTTGTATGGGGAGGAACAGGACATTTATCCCTGACGAACACAGACCCCAATGGACTTCGCTGCACCGTCGAGCACTGTCCGAGGGAACAAGCAGTGCAGTTTTGCCATGTTCTACGAAGACGAAAAACTGGGAATGAAGCCCTGGTAAAGTTCTTCATATCCCAATATGACTACTCGTGATCGTCCCAACTCCTCTTAGATGTCAAGCTTAGAGTGGCAATGGAATATGAAGCATCGGTCGCGTAACATAGATACAAGGTATAACATCTTCCCCCGTGAGTATTCGTATGTTGCACTACCTGGTCCTCAGCTCCCGATCAGTCGGGGCATCGCTTCACTTCCTCCACGATCAATTGTTACCATCAAAACACTTCTTCACGATCACACGTGTTTGACACATGCACACAGAACCACACAGACATTGCAACCATGCATATCTCATCTTAAAAAAACCCTTTCACGATCATTTATTATTTACGCATTGCTGCCTCACCGATCATAAACTATTCTACATTAATAATGACTGGTTTCCACATTCTCTTAGATACTCATGTAAACCTTTCCATTAACGCATGTACAAGTATATTTGGACATCCTGCAATATATAAGCTGCGACAGCAAAGGTCTCAGACCTTAGCTTCGATCTGGCATTTCATTCGTGTCATTAGATCGAAGCTAACCCTCCGCCTTCGCGTTGACATTGTCAACATTCCTCCATATTCCTCTCTCACCGTGGCACCTGTAACAAGGAGCCGAACACGGTACTCCCTTCGATCTCACCCATCCTACACAACCTACATTTATCCCATATCCGAACCCCTATTCTATCCCATCACACCCCACGCTCCAAGACAGATTCAAGAACAACAGCTGAAGGCTATCAGGCGCTACAGACGGCACCTAGATAGAAATATAACCCTTTACTACTAACCGTTTGAATCCCACGCCTGTATTCAAGGGTGGTGCGTACGCACTAAGCTGGGCGAAAACCTACACGCATAGCGCGGGCTGTGGACACAGGGACCACCATATCCCCATCGGTCGCAGTGTTCGTAGGGAAGTAGTGGCACCGTAGTGACTCTTGAGAGTCAGCGAAAGTGGTGTCAGGGAGCTTAGAAAAGTGGCAATATCCTACCTTGGGTACAGAAGCTCCTGGGCTTGTGACCCTTGAGCGAAGAGGCAGACGCTGGGTACCAGACGAGAAGACCCGGGTCAGACAGCCTTGCAATCATTCCTATTCCTATCCATTAGCACCGACATCTACCTGAAATCTGCGAACTAAGTAACAGATTTTGGTTCTTCCAAACGAAGTTCCCACCACGGCTGATCACCGTTATCAGATCAACGACGAAACCCCTTGGTTCGGACCAACCCGACCATATTCACCAATTTCATATTCCACCACCCCATGTTCACCCCAGTCAGAAACCTCTGACGATATCTATCCACCCAACCTAAATCCCATAGCCATCCAGACCCTAATTGCTAGAGCAATGGCAGGCGAAGATGACCAGAAAGAAAGGAAAGGGCACGTTGCTAAGCCCGAGTACTTCGACGGAAACAAGGCCAAGTTCAAGGCCTGGTGGAGACAGGTACTCACGTACCTGAGAAACAATAAGAAGGATTTCGGTACGGATGATGAGAAGATCGACTTCGTCATCTCATATCTCAGAGGACCCAAGGCAGAAGTTTGGTCGCAAAACTATTATGATCAACACTTCAGGGAGGAGACAGAAAGCTGGGGAAAGACGTGGGCGGTGTTCAAATCAGAGATCACCAACGCGTTTCAGGATTCGAATCTTGCTGCACAGGCGCAGATCAAGATCGACCATCTGCGCCAAGGACAGAGGCCAGTTGAAGAGTATTTTCAAGAATTGGAAATACTAATGATGCAAGCTGGGTACAAGAAAGAAGATCAGTATATCCTGAAAACTGTCCATACCAGTGTCAACAAGGCACTTGTCGACAAGGTTTACGGACAAGTCACAGTACCGACGACATACGATGAATGGAAGGACGTACTGATCAAACTCGACAATGCCTGGCAGGAGCATCAGCAGGAGAAGGCCATGCGGGGCCTGAGAACAATACCGCCAAAGAAGGAAGGGGTACCTGTCACCACAAATCTGCAGGTCGCACCACGAACACAACCGACGCAAAGACGCTGATATGCACTGACACACAACAATCACCAAGGACCAAAAGAAATAAACCTAAACCCCGTGATATGTGTGAAGGCGGTCCGAGACAACTGAAGGGTATTTAATAGTTCGAGGGGGAAAGGAGGAGTAAGATGCCATAGGGTAGTCCATAGGAAGACCTAGAAAAATAAAACAAAACCTTGACGCCTGAAACAAACACTAAGGGATGCTCCGGAGTATTTATCTCCGGAAAGTCGCAGACAAAGTCGCAAACCACGAAACCGAGTGTAGGTTCGGGCCCACGGGAGTAGAAATTGCTAGAGAAACTTGGTTAATTTTATGTCGCTATGTGAGACTCACCGGAGCTAATTGGATCGATGGCGGAGATAATTCACTTGACGAGTCAGGCCTATTGGCAAAGCTAAGATCGGTTATAATTCGCTAAGTTCGACGCTTTCGAACTTCTCGGGTCGCTGAGATCGTAACTCTAATTCTCTGAGATGGTGAAGTCGAAACTTGTTTTTCTGTACACTACTTTGTACAATTTATACTACAGGAATGGCTTTGCGACCGTCCGGAGATAAATAACAAATAAACGCCGCTACCCACAGGATTGCTCAGCACTTTCCTCTGCTATACCATACACCATACGACTCTCTTGCGCTCCCACTTGCTCTTTCCAGCCCCTATAGGTCGCCTCGACGCTCCGCCACCTGACCCAAGCGGTCCCATCACTCCGTGCGACACGCCGGTCACGTGTTAATTACCTCCGGCCGTTTGCTGACTGATGCTGACCTTATGGTGACTCGTATGCGTCCGCACCTTCGGTATCTTGACGGAAACGAGGGGGAGTGAGTGCTGGAGGGTGGGCATGAGGAAGACGCCCCTCGATAGAAGTGTCCGCGGGTCCCGGAGTTAATGCAGCTAGAAGTCGCAATGGTTAAGTCACTCCGGAGCTTTGGTGCACGGAGATAAATCGCGGAATGGGTCCGAGTATGCCTCGAGGATGTTGGGAAGTCCGGAGCTAAATAGAAATAGTCTTTTAGAGCCCATAGAAGCCTAGAGGCGTGCGAGCGCTGTGTCAAATAAGCTCCGGGGCGCTTGTATGATGTGCTGAATCCGCGTTTTCGGGGGTCAGACGATCCTGAGGCTTATCAACGCGACGGGATGGGAATGACGTTCACGGGGCCAGGACAACCCATGGACATAGACCGGGCATGCCTCAAGTGCAAGGCCAAGCAGTCAGAGACGGGAACATGCAGAAGCACGTGGCAGATTCCCAACAGGAAGGGGAGGACCACGTCTCAGGTCAGACAGGTGGATTGGACGAAGCCGACATCCCATTTCATCTCAGCAATCAAGGAGTGGTCGAGAAGGGACCCTGAAGGGTTCAAAGCAGTGGGTTTTGGCTACGGCACAGCTTGAGCGCACCAAGCTCCATGCCTCTTGATTCTCATAATAAATAATCTGCGCTAGTCATAGAAGAACTGACCCCAGACAGTATCTATATTCAGAATGTTTCCATGCAATTTTACAAAGAACTCGAGTCTCAAGTAGCACAGGATGTATTTAATGCTACAGAATCAATCAAACAGGCAGAGGAGTCTTCTTCACAGAAGCTCAGCAGGGCCTCTAAACCTGTGCTTAATTCCTCTAACAAAGACAAAAAACATTCAGAAAAGGATCGAGTGTGATGATCACAAAAACCAAAAACAGAGAATCCCATATTTTCCGAAGGACCTAAATTATTCCGGGTCATGCGAGGATTAAAAAATGGCATGCAAATGGACCTGCCATTAACCCTCACGCAGTTTGAGACTGAGAAAAGAAATGACGTGGTAGCGCTCCTAGATACCAGATGCACAGGTTCTTGTATCAATGAGAATACTGTTGTAAAACTCGGGTTAGAGCGACATCGTTTTGAAAACGATATACCAGTATTTAATGCAGACAGCACTCTAAATGTGGTTGGTAACATTACTGAATATGTACGAGTGAAGGGTCAAATCGGAAACCATGAAGAAGTCTTGAATTTGCTAATCACAAATCTCGGCAAATCAGACGTTTTTCTTGGTTACGAATGGCTTGATTTCCACAACCCCAAAATTGACTGGCAAAAACAACTGCTGAATTTCATGCGTTGTCCACCGCGATGCGCGGAAATGCGTAAAATCCAGCAAATTAACCAAGTCGAAATCGAAGAGGAAGACTCCGTATTTATGATTGACCCCAACACCTGGATAAGACAGAAAACCCAAAATAAGAGGGAGTACGCGCGTTATTTATCAGCCAAGATGCTGCGAGCCACCGCACTGGACATTGCTATTGAGGCCAACAAATCTAAGAAAGCAAAAACTTTCGAAGAAATGGTCCCGGAACAGTATCGTCCATTCAGTGACGTATTTAAAGAGGAAACATTCAATACGCTTCCAGAACATCGACCATGGGATCATGTCATCGAGCTTTTACCAGACAGTAAACCCTATTCTGGAAAAGTTTATGCAATGACGATCGATGAGCAAAAAGCGCTGGATGAATTCCTTGAAGATAACTTAAAGACCGGCAGGATCCGACCCAGCAAATTGCCCTGGGGAGCGCCATTCTTCTTCGTCAAGAAAAAAGACGGAAAACTGCAACCAGTCCAGGACTATCGCAAGTTGAACGAAATGACGAAGAAAAATAAATACCCCTTACCACTCATTGTGGACCTGATCAATAAATTAAAGAATGCAAAATATTATACGAAACTAGATATTCACTGGGGATACAACAACATTCGCATGAAGGAAGGAGACGAAGAGAAAGCCGCTTTTATCACCAATCACGGGCTCTTTGAACCACTCGTCATGTTTTTTGGGTTAACCAATAGCCCGGTGACCTTCCAAACAATGATGAATAATATCTTCCAAGCATTAATTATGCAAGGAAAAGTGATAGTGTATCTAGATGATATACTCATTTTCTCCAAAACCCTGGATGAACATTGAAAGACTGTCAAGCAGGTCTTGGAAATCCTCCGAGAGCATAAATTAACCTGCAAAACCAGAAAAGTGCGAGTTTGAAACTCAGGAAACGGAGTATTTAGGTCATATTATTGGTCAAGGAACCGTTCAGATGGATCCTAAAAAGGTCCAAGGTGTCACGCAATGGCCAACGCCAACCAACAAAAAGGACATTCAACAATTCTTGGGGTTCGCAAATTTCTACAGAAAGTTCATAAAGGATTTTGCTGCCATCTCCCAACCTATGACCAAACTCACCGGACAAGCCGAGTGGACATGGGGACAGGAGCAACAGGAAGCGTTTGAAACCCTCAAAACGGCCATTACAAAAGTGCCAGTCCTGGCAGTACCCAACGACCATGACCAATATCGCATAGAGTGCGATGCATCTACATATGCACTAGGAGCAGTGCTCTCACAAAACCAAAATAATACATGGAAACCCATTGCATTCCTATCTAAAAGCCTCAATCCAGCGGAACGTAATTATGAGATCTATGACAGAGAAATGCTGGCAATCATGACAGCAGTCGACGAATGGGACAATTTCCTTCGCGGTGCAAGTCAGCAATTTGAGATTTACACTGATCACAAAAATCTCGAATATTTCAGAAAGCCGCAGAAACTCAATCACCACCAAGCGCGCTGGGTCCTAGAACTCCAAAACTATGATTTTACCCTAGTCCATCAACCGGGTAAAACTATGATCAGGGCAGACGCATTATCCCGTAGACCAGATCATGATAAAGGTGATTCTGACAACGAAAATACTATCCTATTAAAACCTCACTGGTTTAGAAGCACAGAGGTGCTAGGCACCGAAGCCTTAAAAACCAAAAAATTATCACATGTCCATAATTATGAAGAATCCATAAAAGCAAAAATACTACAAAAAGACAAGGATTTCTCTCAGACCAAGGACGGCCTGATCTGGAGGAAGAGGCGAATTGTTATCCCCAATGACAAATCGCTTTGAGGTTTAATTATTGCTTCGCATCATGATTCAATTTCTGCTGGACATCCTGGTCAGATGAAAACGCAGGAATTAATTTATAGATCCTATTGGTGGCATAACATCAAGAGAGATGTGAAAGCTTATGTAAAGGGATGCGACATATGCCAAAAAACAAAAATAACTCATCAGCAGAAGGCTGTGCCTCTACATCCTAATCCTATTCCTGAAAGGAATTGGTAATATATATCCGTAGACATGATCACGCATTTGCCACTTTCACAAGGATATAATGCTATAATCGTGATAGTCGACATGAAGTCCAAAGATTTCGTTGCAGTACCAACCACAGATGAATTGACTTCAGAAGGCTGGGTGAATATTTATATCAAACATGTTTGGTCAAAGCACGGGCTTTCCGAACGTATCACGTCAGACAGAGGACCTCAATTCGTCTCGCAGTTCATCAAAGACGTGTACAAAAAGCTGGGAATACAAGGAAACCCAAGCACGGCGTACCACCCACAAGCTGATGGACAAACCGAACGAATCAATCAAGAGATCGAAAATTATTTAAGAATGTTCATAAATTATCGACAGACCGATTGGCCTGAATGGTTACCGATTTGCGAATTCATCTATCACAATAGACAACACTCAGTAACCGGATACTCTCCTTTTTATTTAACCCATGGATATCACCCTTACACTGGAGTGGAAACTCGGAAAGAGATAAAGAGCGAACAAGCAGACCAATTTGTCACAAGGATGAAGAAGCTGCAAGAAGAGGCATCGGCCGCTCTCAAACTCACCAAGGAGTACATGAAGGAAAAATGGGACATCAGGAAACGAGAACCGGTAAATTATAATGAAGGGGATAAGGTCTGGCTTGAAGCAATCAACATAAGCACAGATCGACCAAACAAAAAACTTGACAACAAACGATATGGACCATTCAAAATTGTCAAGAAGGTCGGAAACAGTGCCTATAAACTCAAGTTGCCTAAAGCATGGAAGATCCATCCTGTATTTAACGAAGTGCACCTCACGCCCTACTATACGCAAGAATTCCCTAATCAAAAACCGACACGAACTATTCCCAATATTATTGCTATCGAAACAAAAGTGGAGAAAATCCTAGATTCAAGAGACAACGAGGCGGATTACAATATTTAGTACGCTGGGAAAACAAACCAAGATCAGAAGACACGTGGGAACCGCGATCAAGCTTAATTGGGCAATACAAAAGCCTGATCGATGATTTCCATAGACAAAACCCTGACGCGGCAAGGATGCCAATGATCACTGTGCCTGGCGCACTGAGGAATGTAAAATTATCAGAAAAAGAAAAACAAATTTCATATGACGATGAATGGGACAAATGGACGAGCACCTACGAATGGTGGATGACCAGAACAAAGAAAGCTACCGATTTACCATCAATGACACAATCGGAAATAGCTGAATTGTTTTTTGGGACGCACGCCGTCAATCAACATCCATCACACCATGCTCACACTACCGACCTCAAATATCGTCCTATTCATTATACTCGCCGCGCTAGTCGCCACGATTGCAGGAGTCAGCATCACATTTACCATCCTCATCTATCGGCAAAGATCTCGCGATTCCCTTGAAATAGTCGGCCAACGCAGACCAAGTCTGGGGGGAATCATCGAATTAGAAGTTGTCAGACGCGGAGGCGCACAACACTAATCGCAAGGACGTGGTTCTAGAGGAGGGGGTAATGTTACGATCAAAACACTTCTTCACGATCACACGTGTTTGACACATGCACACAGAACCGCACAGACATTGCAACCATGCATATCTCATCTTAAAAAAACCCTTTCACGATCATTTATTATTTACGCATTGCTGCCTCACCGATCATAAACTATTCTACATTAATAATGACTGGTTTCCACATTCTCTTAGATACTCATGTAAACCTTTCCATTAATGG